GAATTCAGTCGAGCCCAAAAGTGGGAGGTTTGACGACAGAGAGTCGAAAAATAACGCGAGACGGCGCGGACGTTGGCGACAATGCAAACGCGTTATGCAAAATGGCCGGCGAGTTTTGGATCTTTTTATTCCTACAACTGGATCTGCTTCAGAAATCGAGATGTATTTTCGCGAATCCCGCGGGATGGGTTGACGAGGAATGCTAACGACAGCGAAATGAAGCAGATCGAAGGAGCAGATATCGAGGTCGGGACGAGTTCCAATGGGTCTGTGTTCGTCCATGGTGCCGGAGAACGATGATGGAAAACGTTCGAGACAATGACAAATGTCGTCCGTCTCGCGACATTTCGATGCAGCGAAATTATGTTACACCTTGGTTACCCTACAATTGCGATATCCGCTGACATTGCCGAGCGATTACCCGCGTAGCCAGCAGGACGCAAAGCAGACAAACGATTCCGCGCGGCGTAAAATTATCGCCAAAGGCGACCACGTTGCAATAACGGTGAGTGCGTTAATTTCGATTTAATTAAATTCTCGTACCCCTTACGCATCGTTGCATGTCGCCCGTGGATAAACAGGCCGCCGTGGAAAATTGACGATGACGCTATAGATGCTTCGGAGAAGAATCGACTAATTATTCAAGGCGAAAGACGCGATTATCCTTCCTTATCGCGCATTCTCGAGCCATCGCGAAAGGAGAGGCGATTATGTCGAGCTCGCGAGATGAAAAGTGGAATGAAAAAGAAAGCTCGAAATGGCACGAGAAGGCTCGAGGATCGAGAACTAGGATTTCGCTGCCGGATGCATCGACTCGTAATTTCTTTCAGACAAATTTGTCATAATGAAGAGAAGCACACGGAATCGGACAGGTATTAAATAGTATTAGCAGATGTTATTACTTGACTTATGTTCTTATGTTATTATTATTTCTAGGACAGAGATGAAAGGCTCATGCATAATTGCTTAAAAATCTTGGATTCAATGTTATTGCTTCGTCACCCGACTTCGCAATATTTCTCGCAATACACGCATAATCACTTCTTCAATCTCTATCTTCATCCTTATTCCGTTACTTCTCAAGCTCACGTGCAACCTTTTATCTGCCTTGACCGATTACTCGATTGATTGAAAAATGTATGCCTCTTTATAACGCGACGAGTTACAAAAATTGGGAAGACAGTAAAGTCATCGGAAGTTTGTGAACCGACTTCGACAAAAATTTTTGCGGAGAAGGTATGATATGAAGTATGACAGAGAAACTTATAACCTGGGTACAGCTTCCTAGACAAGAACGAAATATTTATTATTAACGTACAAATGTACAAAGTTATAGGATTATCGTTTATTTGTTATTTTCTAATTTCAATGCTACATTTGTGTTCTCTTCTGCGAAACTTTCTTTCTTTTGTTTTCAAACTTGGGACATTTTTCTGTGAGAAAGGCCAAACTAGAAAGTAATAAGGCAGGAATAAAATAATTTATTTAATTAAGCAGCGAAACATGAACTCTGAGAACTAGTTCCATAAGATCGGGGAACAATGAAGGTACAAAACGGCCATGGACTATGCGATGCATAAAATCTATTATATTAATTTATGTTTCCGGTGGAATTGCAAATATCTAGTAATATGGAAAATTTAAGCAAGTCACATACGCAAATGCAATTATAGGTCAAATTGTTATTCGACTTCCATCGCGAAATTTAGAATTGCCAATACGCAGTAATAGTTATACAAGGTGTCTCGCATAAATCAGGTTATTTAAATATCTCCTACATATACAATACATTACACGAAACGAATTTTTTGGCTTGAAAATTTATGTTCTTTTCTGGTGCATCGTGTGGCTGATGTTTAAATATAATTCAAACATTATCCACGAATTGACTCCTGACTTTGAAAATTAAAATAAAACCTGAAAAATTTGTCTATCTATCAAAATTGCATATAAAATATCTTTTGCCATTATAATTGTAGGAGATATTTAGGTACTGCAATATCATTAAGTTTCCTATGTATCACAACTTTTCCATTTTTCGTTTCTATTGTTTTATTATAGCTTAAGAGGATATTGTTGTAATCCGGCTTACAAAAATCGATTATTTTTTTACATTTTCTCAAAGCGCGTGTTTTCAAAAATGTCTGTGCAAAAGGATTTGTTAGAATTCGTAGAATTAACCAGGTTATAGGTGTTCAAAGTGTGGCATGCAAACATTGTACATCGGGTAACGAAAACTTCAAACGCGTTTTTCTCGAAACCATATTTTTCCAATTGGCTGACGCGATATCTCGCGTTTCAGTTGACCGATTGACACGAAATTTGGAGGAGATCTTCATCGGACCTACCTTTAACACGTGAACCACGAATTTCAAAATCTGATCTTTTTTTTATTTCTTTCACCACCCAAAGAACGAAAAGCCCGAGGAAAATCGATATTTAAACTTCAAAATGCCGCCATTTTTTTAATTTTCGAAATTTCCCTGTTTCGATGATTCATGATATAGCCGTATTCATACTAATTAAGATGCTCCTTAGTTTTATCGTTTCCGATAACCACGTGATCCGAAATGACATCAGCCATTTGAGCCTGTTTTTAAAAACACGACTTACCTAAGGCTATATAATTTCCACAATTTTCATCAATTTCGTTACAAAAGAAAAATTGTAAGTATTCTCTACGTACAAACAGATCCGTGTGCGAAAATTGCGTACTAATATCTATCATGGTTTATCCTAAAAAAAAATCTTCAAAATCGATTTTTATCGGCTGGATTACAACAATACTTTGACTGTGTATCTCCTTCTGCATTACGATCCACAAGTGTACGGGTGTACCTGTGTCCATTAAACGAATCGCGAAATCGATAAACAAATCGATAAATTGCAGGTTTAACGTTAGAACGAGCTAAAAAGCCATTCGCTATCAAAAATAAGAGATTCGTGGTAAAATCTTGGGGATAAACACGTGTTAATCGTGTCGACATAGTGTCACACGAGTCGATAAACTAAAATAAAGCGAGACTCTTCGATCGATAATAAATATAAAAAAGTTGCTGTACACTGGACGAGACCTTGACGCGATCTGGAATGGACTAAGGTAGTACCGAGTAATTTTTCTGCACGAATCGCCACATTGTGCGCCCTAGATAGCATTCGCGACGCAGGCTCGAGAATAGCTATCGTAGCTTTCAAAAGCGGCAAGGTTAGAGGTATAATGCAAAGCGGCAATCCCTGTGCTTGCAGCTAATGCTCGACGTTAAATTGCTCGATCAAAATTTTCCCCGTGTCGAATCATCGTAATTACTCGACCTAATTCCTCCGTGGCGACGAGCACTCGCGCAGATTTTCTTCGGAGGTGCGACAAGAAAATAACAAATAAACGTGCGAATTGCATAATGGATGAAGTAACGAGCTGCGACTACAATGTCAACATTGACATTAACGAGAATAATCATTCCCCGGCGTAACGGCTGTCGAATCCGAAAATACCGCATGAAAGAAATCAACACGCCTACGACGTGGCTAAGCGAGTTTTTGTTCGATCGCACTCGAATAAAATATTTTTCCGTGAAAAAAGAGTGAAAAAGGAAAATATGTGAAAGGCAGGGAAAAAAGGAAGTCGCGACCCTCTTGTTAACCTATTTTGCAAACGCCGAGGCACGCTGTTTGCTATGCTGTATAAATTCTAAAACTGAATTCTTTCTATTAAAGCGTTCCTCGAGGAGCACCGGGCAAATATCGACTAGCAATAAACAAACGGCGCGACGCGATACGAATACCCGAGGAAAAACAATCGGATGGAAAAAATGCTAATACCGCTTGGAAACAGCATTGTACCGGCGAGCATCTGCCTCTATTACTTAAATTTCTCGACGGAAATGTAAATCGCATTGTTCGTCCCGCTTCTTGCATATTTGATGCCGCATCGCAGGTGAACCAACGACTTCGAACAGCGAGAAAGAAGTTTGCCCAGCGCTTAGGATAGCGAAGAACGATATGGTAATAGAAAGAGCATCGGAGTACAAAGTGCCACTTCGGCGACACAGGTATAAAATAATTAAGGAGGGGGGAAATTGGCGGAATTACGAGCGGATTTAACGACGCAGCCAACTAGCGAACTGCTTAATTAAAAGGAGGAGGGAGGAAAAAATCGTAAAATCTTAAGACCTCGTCGAGGAAACGATAACGAAGCTTGACATCGAGAGAAACATCCAATAGCCAAATGTGCACGCGTCAGAGTGCTCGTGTCATCGGAAATGGAAGAAAGCTTGGCGCAAAAAGCTTCGGATCTGCGGGCGAATATTCGATCGAGCGCGATGAAGAAGGCAGGCTAATGATCCGACTGGTCATCGGCATTGTCGGAGCAAAAAGGATCGGTCGGAAAAGCGGAGGTTGTCCAAGTGCAGCCAGTTCCCTCGGAGAAGTAAGACAGCAGCGATTCCGTACAGTGGCGGCATCTACGCGGAGGAGAGATGCAAGATTGGCTGGCAGTTCGCAGGCGCATTTCCCGGTGCATTCTCTCATTTCAGCCTCGGCTCGAGCGAGGAGCGTCGCGTCATTCCTTCCCCGCGATCCATCGACGATAGACACCGTTCTTTTTCTCTCCACGCGTCCTCTCTCGTCCTTCTTCCTCGTTGTTGCCGAACAGACCGTGCATCGTTGCTCCACAGCTGGCGACTCGACACGTTTCTCGGGACAACGGCAACAGGCTTCGTTAGTTGTCTTTCTTCCTTTTCTCTTTCTTTCTCCTCCGGTCCCTCTCTCTGACCTTCCTCGTTTAATCCGCTTCCGCTCGCCACGACGCCCCGCTCGTTCTACCCATCTCCCTCCCTCTCCA